ATTCAACAGATTCAAATGACCAATAAGATCACACAGGTTGAGCCTCCTCCGGGTGCCGTCGACCGGACAATGCCAGCTGGCGGCTCCCCGAGGGAGGACCTTCTCTGTAGCTGCAGCAGCCTTGTGGAACGAGCTACCCACAGAGATTAGGACCCTTACCACTCTCCTGGCCTTCCGTAAAGCGACCAAGACCTGGCTGTTCCGGCAGGCCTGGGGCTGTTGATTAATATCCAGCCCCACTTGATTGAATGGATTATATATTAATTTTAATAATTGTATTTTTAATTTTTATATGTTATTACTTTTGTTGTGAGCCACCCAGAGTCCCAAGGGAGTGGGCGGCATACAAATCTTATTAAAGTTGAAAGTTGAAGTTGAAAGGAAGCACATTGCTGCTTTATGTAATCAGTTAGATATCTTGCTTTTCAGAAATTTTCAATTCTTACCTTACTGATAATTTCTCTTTAAATATTAAACAACATAGAGCTATTTTCATATCCAATCATTTCAAACAAAACCAGCCATATTCAGAACATACTTGGTTGAAAGTGCTAGACCAGGTGATGGCTTCCTCGTGAATGGTGAACATTTGGTCTTCAGCAGCCCTGGGATCTAGCTTCCCAACTTTCACTCGATGGAATGACTGGTTGGGGAATGTGACCCAGTTCTCCATTTCCAATCCTGTAATCAGTTTTCTATTCTTGTCAAAGGAAATTTCATCTCCAACACTGTTGTTAAATGATACTCTTTTCAAAAAGAAATGTAGCTAAATATGAAAAAATATGCAAAAGCTCTTAGTTCTATATATGGTACAGGAATATGTGATATCATTTCCATCTTTTTATTTGAACTATTTTTCATATGTGGCAGGCTGCTCCTATTCTAATATGCTAATGTCTTCCTCAAGGATCTACTGTATATCTTGCAACCTTAATCCAAAATCTAACTTTCAATAATTAAAAGTAACCCAGCCCTAGCAAATACATATATTAATATGCCAGAAATAATCTGCTTGCATTAGTTTTCAAGAACATTAAGAATCTTTTGTTCTATTGTTGTTAGAGATAAATTTAGTAGAGCAAATTAGACCAGTTTAATATCAAAATTAAGGAGTTGAAATAACTTTTCAGGATGTCAACAATATCTTTAGTATTAAAATTGCTCAATTCATGCATTTCTACTCAGTCAGTAATGATGGGAAATGAAGGAAGACAATTTTTTAAGCATTTTAAATCAAATTGAGACCACATAGGTGAACATGGATTTTGAGAAATAGTGCAATTATGGTTTGAGCAAGTCTGGTATTTAGATTGAATAATAGTGTGGTTGACAATTGTTATATTTGTTTTTTTCTCCCCCTCTTTTTTCTACGTCTTTTCTCTTCCTCGCTCACATTTGGTGTCACATTTTCCTTTTAAACAGCAAGAGACTGTTTAAGAGACTAGTTGGGCTTCACATTATTGCCTTCAAAATCTGTTTGTTAAATTTTGTCATTTGAGAACACTTTCTAGATCTTATGCATAATCTGCTTTTCTAAATGTTTTTTAAAAATCTGCTGAATACATATTTTTTGCTTTTGTGGGCTAATCTCTGCACAATTCTCTTATAACAATCTCTTTTCAATTGTATTACATTGGCTCTCATTCTATTTTCAGACTGTTTTTTACTTGTGTGTGTAAAAAGAGAAATACCATTTGGACTGGTTAGTTTATCTTGTCTACCATGGTTAGGTTTCTGAGGACAATGAGCAAAAACTGTGACTTAGAAACAGAATAATAAATATTGTTTCTAGACATATATCATGCCCTTTCAGATGCCTTATATATATATACTCTTGTGACGAGCCGATTGACAGATGATGGAAGCAATTAGCTTCCTCCCATAATTGGGGCTTACAGGGGGTTGTAAAAATCTAATAGATACCTTTCACCCTGGCTTCGCTGATAATGGATAAGAGCCTGTGGCCTAATGGCTAAGATCTCTGCCTAGTGTGCCTAGTATGCCATATAGCCCAGGTTCAAATCCCAGTAAGGGTATGGCTAGCTGATGAGAGCTAAATAGCTTGAAATAGATCTATACTAGTCTCCCTTTATTTATTTATCAGCACAAATAAAAAAACATATATATATATATATATATATATATTTGCATTTCATTCATGTGCTAATTTAATTGATCTTTTAGGCTCTGATTCCACAGCCGCTTAAAATATGGATTTTTGAAAGCATGATCCTTGTCTCATATAGTATGGATGGGATTGCCAAATATTCTTTGATTCATCTAAATCAGAGAGTCCCAACCTCAAGTCCATGGACCAGCCCTGGTTCACAGCATGCCAGAAATTGGGCCACGCATACAAGCAAAACCCCATCTGCAGGATGCAGTCAGCACACAAAAATCATGTCCCCTCCAGTCCATGGAAAAACCTCTCTCCATGGAACTGGTCTCTGGTGCCCAAAGGTTGGGGAAAGCTGATCTAAAGATGAATAAATATTAAACCATGTATCCCAAGACTAAAAATTTCTCATTGTATTTATTATTTTGGACTCATACCCTTATTGATTGGAAATTCTCTGAGTGTGTTTTTAAAGTTAACTTGATCAAACAGTTCTTGTAATTCTAAACAAAAACATTCTGCAGTAAATAATTCTTGCTTATATCTGGGTGGGGGAAAAGATATAGGCAACATAGACAGAATATACCTACTATCTATAACCTACCAGGAATGCAGCTAGGGAGTAATTGAGATAAGATGTTCAAAGCATGAAAAAACATTAAAATTACAAAATTCAAAAAAGGACAGATAAAAGAAAAAAGACTGTCCAACATATGCATATCACTGTTGTCTATGGTCAAGTGGCTGTGAGATAATAGAAAACCAGTGCAATTCAAATTTCTTTTGCAACTTATTTAATTATTCATCAAATTACCTGCCATGGCTGGGTCTCCTGAATACTGTGTTTTCTGCCATTTGACTTTCTCTTACATTGATGGTCCAACTTCATGTTATGTAAAGCATGTGCCACAGCATATACTGCATTGTATATACTGTAACTATGACTGGTCATTTTCATTTCAAAAAAAGCCCCAGGAAGACTCTCCAATTTCTCGTTCCCTGTACAAACATCATCATTTTTCTCATTCTTAGATGGATTTGGAAATACACAGCCAAATGCTTGTTCCCACACATTTTTGAGAAAACCATCCTCTTTTGAGGAGAAATGGCTTCTTGTCTGGAGAAAAATTTGGAATCCCTCAACTTCCTTTGAGTAAGCAAATGTCAATGCACCATGAAGGACTTGGATATCCCAGCTCTTTTGATAAAAGAATGATGCAAGACCCATTTGGGAAGCCATAATCCACACCTTACCTTTAGGCTTTGTAGAAATCATTTCTATTTCAGGTAGACGTAACAACCATCTTAAATGTAGAAGATACTTATCACTGACTATTATAGCATTGGCTTTGCTGTTAACATAAATGTGAAAGCTTTTGACAAGCCATTTCAAACCATCAAAAAACTGGTCAAAATGAAGTCTGAATTGTTCCAAGAAGGCAATGCATATGCCATAGAAAGGAAAAATTGAAACAATTAGGCGTTGAAATGATACCTCAAAGCCTTTCGTAAGTATCCCAACCCATGTCCACCGGCAATACAATAATAGTTGAATAATCCCCATATTAAATATGTTTTCACTTGGAGCCATGTTGTAGTAGAAAGGGGAAAAGCCCTTTGGAAACTATGGAAATAAAAGTTACATAGGTTAAAAAAAATAGAAAGACAAAGAAAATGTGTATTCTCTGTAATTAAAAGCTCTAAAGCATGCCAGCATATTTTTCACATAATTTTTATACAGAATTTTTTAGGATAAAAAACTATAACTGGACTACATGTTCCATTTATTTCCTTCCAAATGTATAAACTATGACTATCTGAATTTTGTTCCCTAAACTTGATTTTACTAAAGAGACTAATATCTGAATCCCTGCTTTGCTCTTATTATTATTATTTGTACTCGCTTAGTTAGAACACTTTTTCTTGGGCCCAAGTTCAAAAGACCTTGGTCAGCATACTACTTGGAAAACTGAAATAAAGCATAACATTGAAATAATAAATAAATAATACAATTCCAAATAACAATGACAACTTTATATACATACATGGATTATATGTTAAGAAACTATACTCTTTTAAAATGTTTACTCTCTGTTTTTTTAAAAAAAATTAACTGCTTTCTAAAAAAGAAACTTTACAATCTACTTTTTGCTTTATCCTATTTCACACTTATATGAACTGCTATTACTTATGGGTTTCCTGGTGCTATAGCTCCAAGAAAAGTCCTCCTATTAATCCATTTCAAGTATCTGGGTTTTTTTTCTCCGAAGAGCTATTGGAGGGAAAGGACAAACATAATAGTGTATCCCACTCACTAAGTAAGGGCCAATAGTAGGAGAAGGCAGTGCCTATGCCTCTTTGAATACCTGAATCAAAGATGGATATAAATCTCATGTCAGAAAATAAAATAAATAAAATTCAGAAATATATATATATATATATATATATATATATATATATATATATATATATATATATATATATATATATATATATATATATATATATATATATATATATATATATATATATATATATATATATATTCTCATCACATGAGCATCTTTCTTGAGAAACTACAGAGATCCAAATTTTTGAAATTTCCCTATCATTATAACAAATTCTTAAACGAGTTCAAATTGCTTTATTATATATAAATACATTTTCTTAAGTATACTTCATAGTGAAATGTACATGAAATTAAAAATATCTTAAGGTCGTACAATTCCCCCCTCTCTGAAAATACAAAGGAAAGTGTGAACAACGTATCATTAACGCATCTCACCAGTGGAACTTTGTATGGAATTAAAATATTTGCCATATCAAAGGAAATTCCAGGATCAAGAGTCCCAACAACTGATATGAGTTTATTCAGGATGCCACACTTGTAGTTGGGAATGAATCGGTTCTGACTGGAGGAAAGTTCCATTGAGGCATGATATGTGTTCTCTCCACCATAACTGTCATAGATATTAATTCCCAAAGTGACATTAGGTAAGAGCTGGAGGTTTTCATTGATCATTTTCACGGCAAATATCATAGTCAAGATATGCTGATAATATTTAACCAAGACTCTGGAAAGGAAATAAGTTACTGTATCAAATAAAAATCTGCATGTGGCAGGGAAAATTAAATATCATGGGGAAACAGTGTCTTGCAAAGTAATAGATTAAGCTCCATCAAAATAAAATCCATTGTTTTTTATTAATTGAATTACATATTATTATTAAGTGTAAATATTGTGGAATTAATTTTTATGGGAATAATGACATATATTTTTTAACTGTCTGCTATTTCTATGAAATTCTAACTATATGAAAATGATATAAATTGTTAGTATATAACATTATAAAACTAGAAAGTAAAATTGGGGAAAATTATTACACAAGAGATGGTTTTATTTTAATTTAAGTGACTTCAAAAATACCATAAATTCCATATTTTTAGAATTTAGTCTGACTTCAGCACATTATATTTAGAAAATTAAATACATATATTATTGAAGCACAAGCAGTAATGCTTTCATAGTACCACAAACTCTTTCTAAGTAATGGGTGAACTGTAGCTTTTTCTATTCTATTAAAAAAATTAAAATCTGTAACAGTAGAGTAAAAAAACTGAACCACAATTTAGTCAAAACTCCTTAACAACATCTGTAATAATTTTATTCCTTAACAACATCTGTAAAAATTGGTGTTACTGATCTAATGTTTATGTCTCAATAATCATTGTTATAAGAATGAAAAAAATGGAAGAAAATAATTAAAAACACTATCAAAAGCAAAGTGAAATTTTTACCATAAAAAGTATATTGAGAGCATATGAGTCTGCCTGTCAAAACAACTCTTCCAGTTCATAAGATAATTATTCATGAAGTAATCTTATTTACTGATATAAAATATGACGCATTTCCGAATGTACATTATTATTCCTATAGTTCAACACAATCTTCTGTGGCCACTTTAAAGGCTAATGCTGTAATTCCCATGGATTGGAGATTGGAGGATTGGGAGAGGGATTCCTGTCTTTTCTGACTCTACTAGCAATGAGAAATTGAATGATTAGTTTGATTTAAAAAAATGTAATTTAAGTACATAGTTTCTAGCTGGTTTTTTTTTCTTTACCAAGTACAAAAAATACTTTATAATCTGAAAAATAACATAACATCATTTAAACTTTTGCTGGGAAAGTTTTTTTTTTATCACAGCGACCCATTGTGATGCCTAGAATAGCTATACCAAAGAATTTATATAGATTGATATAAAAAATAATGTCTTACAAGGATTCAAAGGCAAACAAATGATGAGGATCTTCCTCAAAACCTTTTATATCTCTGTTTATGAAGACAAAAGAAGTAATGGCACCAATTGTAAGATCTCCTGGTTGTAAATAATTGTGAACAATCGGGGTAGGATCTTGGATTCTGCATTTGCTTAACTGAGTTTTACAAGCTATACATGGCAATTGTAGCACAAAGAGAATCGATATCATTATAGTTAATAATAATCCCAATTCAAAAAAATTTCTCATTTCGATATAATAGTTACGAGTTCTCAAATGTGGACGAAGCTTGAACTGAATCTCTCTCTTCCTCACATGATTTTCATTCTTTAATGAATCTTAAAATATAAATGGTTCAGAAAAACATTCTGATAATTGTATTTGCCCTTAAACACACAACTATGTAGCTGACAAACAAGTACTTTGCCCTCATTATTTCAAGTATAATTTGTTAATCAGGACTTTGAGGAGAAGGAAAGTTAATAATAGTCTTTTTGGTAATTACAATGGTGAGAACAAATTGCAACTTTCAAATGATTAACGAAATACTAATGGTGGAATGTGCCAATAAATTATCTTATAATGAAATAATTTTTTTGACAATATCACATTTAGGGAAGTGTTATTCAAGCTAGTTGACACATTCATTTTATTTTCATTTCTGCTTTTTAAAATATGGTGATATCTTCTGGAAAGCACATTGCACCCTGTCTGAGACCATGCAGACTACCTGAATTTAGAATAATAGCAAATGGCTTGAAAACAGAATCAATAGCCAGTTGTATAGTCATTTTTCTTAGATTGTTTAGATATTAAAATTCATAAATAGCTACAATTAGCTGCACAACGATACAGCACAATGTACAGGGGTGGGTTTCAAAATTTTTCCTATCTATTCTGTGGGTGTGGCCTATTTTGTTGGCATGTCTTGATGGTCACGTGACCAGGTGGGCATGGCCAACTTGTAAAATGTGGTAAAACTCATTTAACAATGCTCTTGCTTAGCAATCAAAATTTTGGGCTCAATTGTGGTCATAAGTTCTCTTTCTTTTTCTTTCTTTCTTTCTTTCTTTCTTTCCTTCCTCCCTCCCTCCCACCCTCTCTCTCTTTCTTTCTTTCTTGTGTGTCTCTCCCTCTTTCTTTCTTTCTTTCTTTCTTTCTTTCTTTCTTTCTTTCTTTCTTTCTCTTTCCTTCTTCCTCTTTCTTTCTACATAGATAGTTTTATTTTCCATTTTCATTTTCTTACAGTCACANCAGCCCCACTCTAACAGTATGCATGGTGTGAAATTTTAATACTTGTATCCTTATTTTTAAATTTTTTAATATATTTTTCTTTTCGTCTTGTCTGTGAGCCGCCCAGAGTCCCAATGGGAGTGGGCGGCATACAAATGTTAATAAATCTAAAATCTAATCTAATCTCTGACTCCGAACACCCCCCAGAGTCTTCCTCAACCTCCAGGGCAGTCCCATAATGTTCATCGCTGTCAGAGTCCACCAACAGCTCAGCTGGCCACTGCTGGGCCACAACACTATCCCTCACTGCAGGACCCTTCCCCTGGGTCTGACGCTCAGGATGTGGCCTAGATGGGAATTGTTCATGGAAGGCCTGCACCAAAGCAGGTGCATGTGTGGAGGTCGCATCCTTCCAGGTAAACTCCTCCGGCCCATGGCCCTTCCATTCAACCAGGTATTGGAACTGTCCTTTCAGCCATCGGGAATCCCGGATACTGGCTCCCAATCTGGAAGGCCAAAGCCCCCTTTGTTTCTACTATCTTGTAGAAGTTTGTATTTAATACGCGTTTTTTTCCCTGACCAGATAAATTTGGATACCATTTTATTTAGTTGTTCAAAAAAAAATTCTCTAATTTAATCAGTATTGTTTGAAAAAGATAAAGTAGTTTGGGTAGTACATTCATTTTAATCATTGAGATTCTGCCAATTAGTGATATCTGTAGTTTAGTCCAATTATCCAAATCTTTTTGTATCTGTCGTAGCAATTTGTTATAGTTATCTTCTTTTATTTTAATACATTTTGCGGATAGCCCTATTCCCAAATATTTAATTTTCTTGGCCCTCGAAATTCCCAGTTTCTCCTCCAATTCTTCATTTTGTCTTTTGGTTAAATTCTTAGTTAATATTTTAGTTTCCTCTTTATTTATTTTAAGCCCTGTCACTTTACCGAATTGGTTTATATCATGTAATGGTTTTAGTCCAGTTTCTAGGGATTCCTCTATGATAAATGCTAGATTGTCTGCAAAGGCCTGCACTTTGTATTCCTGTGTTCTAATTTTCAATCCCTTTATGTTCTGGTTCTGTCTAATTTGTAACAACAATGTCTCTATTGAGAGGATGAATAACAGGGGGATAGAGGGCATCCCTGTCTTACCCCTTTGGTTATGTTGAAACCTTCTGTTGCTACCCCATTTAGTATTTGTCAC